CCTAGAACGGTTCCTTGTGGTACACCATACTCGGTATTTTCTTCGGTACTCAGTATGTTGTCAATTCTTACGACTTGCTTTCTCTTTGAGATAACTTTCGAAAAATTTCAGTGAATTTCCTCAGACGCCCATGTCTTCTAGATAATGTAAGAGTAAGGGATGGCTTACAGTGTTGAAAGCTTTCGACAGATCTATGGATAGGCATAAGCATGCTTAATTTTCACTAACAGCACTGTTGTTTTTTTGGTCGGTTCATGAATGGCGTCTTCAGTGGATGTATTCTTCTTGAAGCCAAATTGGTGATTTGAGATAATACGGTATTTTTCAAGATGAGATATCAATCTGTTTTTTTTTCAATTCTTTCATGAGGTATATTAATTGAAGTTGGGAGAAAGGATCATATAGTTGGGAATTGATGTACGATTCAATTCACACTTTGGATCACGAGTAATTTTGTCAGCGAGCGTCTTACCCATCTTAGCAAATTTAGAATTGAATTCTTTTGAAATGTCATGTATATCTATTATTACTTCGTCTTCATCATTTTTTAATAATTCAATTTTGCGTTTCTTTTTTCTGAGGCAGTTATTTGTTTTACTACGCCCCAAAGTTTCTTGCTGTCTGCAGAGTTAATACCTATTTGTCTGTCGCAATGTTTGGATCCTTTTCAGCGTACAATGAAGTCCATGATATTCCTTTCAGGCATTCCTTGAGTTTCTTGTGGTTCACATTTATGATATATTCATTTGGTTTTACAGATTTTGGTGAGGAAGCAAAAATGATTTGTATTTGTATGATCATTAATGTCGGTTTTAATGACAAGGGGTACAATATTTTCTGTCATTTCTGAGTTTGCCTTCCGGAAAATGTGATCTATACATGATTCACGGATGTGTTGAACTCTTGTTGGACAGTTTATTGTCGAAAGGAAGCCGAATTCATTCAGAATATTAGCTTATTCCAGAGTGTTTTCAATGTCCTCTAGGAAATCAATATTCAAATCACCGACAAATATATATATAAGTTGTTGTCATTTTGGGGGATGTTAGCTGTTGGGTAGTTTTGAAGTTCTCTATTGAAATTTTTCATATCTGATGAAGGTGATCGATAAAATGCTAAAACAACGATTGTATTTTTTTCATCCTGTTTGATTTTTATCTCTAGAATGTTTATGTCACATATTTTGGTAATATTATAATCAAACTGAAATTAACATTTAATATAAGCTACAACTCCATCGTTTTGATTATATGATCCCTAATTGTAAACAATGTTGTAACCTTTCATACTATACATATTTGGATCTGGAATTCTGCCAAGTTTCTGTGAGGACAATGCAGTCAATAGTAGAATCTGAGTTGTTTAAGGGAATTTTCATTTCGTCTATATTTTTTTTTAATGCTTCGAATATTGTTAAATAGTAGCTTAAAGTTTGTGTTCTCAGTGTTAATTTTTAATATTTCCTGACATTCTGTGCTGTTTTCTAGACAGTAAGTTTGTACAGGCTGGATTTCAGAATCTGTTATGTATTGATCCATTGAAAAATTATATCTGAATGTATAATGAAATTATTTGTGCCTTTATGTTTTAGTCAGTAAAATAATAGAAAGAACAATTATTATTAAAAATGTGGTGAGAACATCGGAGATTATATATTATAAGAATAGAAATAAATATATTTGTGTGTTTATGGTTTGAAAATCTTAAAATTATATTATACACTTATCTGCTCGGATTTTTCCGGGTGTTTGGCTTCCCTAGAGTGATTTCTTTGGAATTCTTATTACTTGTTCCTTTTCTCAGTGGGGTATTCTGAATATGGTTTTCTGAAAATTTTTGTTCCGTGTTAGTTGTTGTTTCCAATAATACTGGTGGCAAGGATGTGAAACGTTCTGGTGTATTGTCTTTATGGAGTATATAATGTTTTGGTGTGAGTATATGATTATTTAGGTGAAATCTATTTTTTTTAATGAAACAGTTATTTTTGTGATCTTGGTTTGCGATAGCAAGGTGGTTTTCTGAGGATCTGTATATATCATTAATATCGTTTTCCAATTCAATATTTAGAATATTCCTAAATATTTATCCAAATGAACCTACTCCCGTCAGGATGTTTGAGAAAACATTTATGTCTATTTGGAAAATGCTAACTATCACGTACAGAATAGGGCACCGAACTCCAAAAAAGTGAGAGGGCCTCGGTGTTCTTTCTTCCTCTCGATTTATCAATCCCATTAAGAAAAAAGAACAATCGACAACGTTAACAACTTGCTGTCACTATTTTGGACCAATAGGATAGCAAGATAGAAAATAAGTATTTTTGATCGTAGGAAAATCTAGTAGAATAGTTGAATATCTGTATGATACACGAGATACAATAGAAATGGCGGCGAAAACACCGTTGTTTTCAGAGAAAAATCACGGAAACTCTTTGAAAATGTAGGTTGGGCACACTGGCAAACCAGATGTGTCCCTAGCTGTGACGAAAAGTTCGTCATCAATAAATGACAATTCTGTCGGTTCCATAATAAATAAACGAACATTATCTACAATATTTACAAGTAAATTTAGACCGTTACAACTTTTGAATCTTTTTCAAACATGAAGTTAATGGTTTTGCTATTTTTGCAAAATCTTTGATAAATTTTCTGTAGTATCCTACAAGTCCTACGAAACTTTTGATTTCTCTGTGTGTTTTTGGGATTGGAAATTTTTTAATAGCTTCAATTTTATCGGGGTTTGGTTTTACTCCGTCTGGCGTTATTACATGTCCTAAATAACTGGTTTCTTTTCTCAAAAATTCTGATTTGTCTAATTGGATTTTGAAATTGGCTTGTCTTAGTCTTTCAAATACGTTTTGTAGGCGTTCCAAATCTTCTAGTGAAGAAGTACTGAAAATAACTATGTTCGGAAAACCGGCAACACTTCAATTCTCAGTTCGATGTCTTTATCGCGAGACCGAACATTCAAAGTTTTTTGTTTATGTTTTTTTTTATGACTTACAAAGAAAGAAGATTGAGTGTGTTGTGAATGATTTTGAAGTTGAATCGCAACCGTTTTGAAAACTATATAATCAGTTCGTTCGCTATCTCCTCGATATACCGCTATTTATCCCTTTTGTGAATGTTGGTGTCAACGAGTATATGAATCAACAGTTAAGTTAGCTGGAAACCATTCCAAGGAGCTCCTGAGATAACCCATTGCAGATTATACAAGAGGAAAACTCCAACTATCAGGTAACTTTGATGCTCTCGTATCGAAATCAATTACAATTAAAATTACAGTCCACTGATAACGCCATTTATGTACTTTCGCTATATCATTTGTGTTTTTAACGTACAAATTATGTCGTCTAAATATACTAAGCATGTTTCATTTTGTAAACCTCGTAATAAATTTTCCATTACTCTTTGGAAGGTACTGGGAGCATTCTTCAATCCAAAGGACATTCGTTTATGTCCGTTTTCCGTTGAAAAAGTAGTTTTTTGTATGTCATCAGGGTGCATTACTGTTTGGTGAAAACCGTTTGCTAAGTCTAGTGTGGTAAAATAATGACTTTTCCTAATTTGTCTAGAATAACGTTAATGTTTGGTAAAGGGTATTTGTCATCTGTTCGTTCATTGAGTTTACGGTAATCTATTACTAATCTCCAGTTCTTTTTCCTGAGGCGTCTGATTTTTTCGGAACTATCCTAATAGGGCTTGAAAAGGGTGATGTTGATGGTTGAATTATACCTTGTTGTAACATTTTTTGAGTTTGAGTTTTAAATCATTCATTTTTTACTAATTCGTAGGTTGAATTTGATTTTGATGCTCATCAGGCTATTCACTGCACTTTCACTGTCGTTTTATTGTTAATTTTAAAATTTTCGCCCGTAAAAAAACCACTGAACTTTTCAATACGTTTCAAATAAATTAAAACAATTCACGAAACAACCAACGGCAGGACCGTGATTGAAAATTGTTTTCAACGATGATTCTAGTTATTTTGGATGAGATGCTATTTGAAAAAATATGTTGGTGGCCGTGTTGACATGGAACGTTTGATCAAGGATTGATTGTTAGGTATATCATTATAGTATATTTTGAATATAATGAAACTGTTTTCTTCGATAACATTTCCTGAAATAACAATTTTTTCTATTCGTAAACATCCAAAAACAGCATTTTCACTTTTTCCTGTATAATTGGACAAGAATGAATTTACCTGTAAATATTATTCGAACATTGTACTGTTTCTCACGATAGTTACCTTTTTTTCTATTCAATCATTTTCATATATGTTTTAAAAAATTGTGTTTAAAATGTGTTTTTTCGTTAATCAGCTGTCGCTTCCATATGAACGACAACTCTCAGAAGTTGAGAAACTTGTGCGAGCTAAGGACTAACGAGGTCTTACCTATAAACTTGTGATTCCTAACACGGTTTAGTTTAGAATATTGCAATGTAAAATCATGATTAAAGAAATCGAGACATGTGGAAATTCAAGATATAGAGCATTATTTTGACAAGAAATGGTGCAAAGCCAAAGTTTTAATGAATTGAATGTTTCTGGTTTGAAAGATTTTTCATTTTGAATTTTTCGACAAATATTTTCTGACAAGTTGGATAAATAGATCCTGAATTTTTGTATAAACTGGGAATATTTTGTGCTTTGCTCTTCTCATTCGATGAATTTTGATTCCGTTTTCGATTTCTCAAACGCCTGGAGTAAATTTTATACCACTTCAAAATATCATTTGAACCTCACAGGTTCTTCTTCATTATTGCGTTACGACATCGAAAACTAGCTGTAGACATAAGGATGATCCAGAAAACTACCAGGTTGTGAAATAATTATTTCAATTCATTTTGGAACATATCTGTACCGTATCTTATCGCTTTGAAATGAATTCGGAAATCTGGATTTTCTGATCAAGAAAACGACTGTACTGCACATGTTCTTGTTCATTCAGAAATATGGTCCGGTGTTTCATTTGTTGTTTTATGTTTGTGTTTCAGTTGACCTCGTTTCTGATCCATTATACCTCAACATCGACAGGAAAGGATGTGAGAAACTGTTGAGACATCGGGAAAATGGTGCGTTTTTATTCAGGCCAAGTCAAAATTATTTTCTAGTGTTGACTGTGAAGAAAAATGACATGTTTTGTAACTTTGGAATCGATAGAGCATACGATGGAAAAATTTATCTGCATTCCGAAACTGCTTCAATAATCCCTACATTCTCGAGCCTACAAGAATTTATCAATTATTACTGCTTTGAACCCATTGTATTTAGGAAAACTGAGGATCTTGACGAATGGGATGAAATATGCATGAATCCGTCCCTTGGAAATGACGCATTTCAGAAAAATCGGATAAAAAAATTTAATGCTATTGAAAAGTCTCACACAAAGTTGACCAAAAGTCCATAGGATATGGACTTTCATTGCGGCAATGAACTGAAAAAATATTGTGAGAATGGTTGAATTTGTATATGATATTTCAATAAAACAGTGAATACATACCCTTTTTGTACAGTACATGTTTGAAATAATTTTATGCAATACTGTCTTCAACTATATCTGGTCAACGAAGTTATATTACAACTTTTTTTCTATAGTACTTCCAAATTAAGATTTTATTGACTCAAAAGAGAAGATTAACTGCACTTTATGTGCAGGGGTAAATAGAACAGTTTAAGTTTTTGATTCATCATCAATCTACAACTCGCTTTCTATAAATAAACAATTCGACAATTCACGTAGCTAGAAACATCAATGGACTGATTCCTGGAACCTCTACCAAGTTGGCGTCTTCAGGAGGTAAAGAAAACTATTTTTCAACGCTAACTCAGTTGGTGAAATACGCGTCGAGGAAAGTATTGAAGTTCTAGTGATTGGAAAATGTGCTTGTCCCCAAACCCAGAATTATGATACTATTCACGATGCGCGTTTCACTAAACAACTTGTCGACTTCAGGTGATGAAATACATTAATTCTCACTATTGGAGTGATCTCTAGTCTCATATAACAAGGAACACTTTTATTTCAGACACACATGATTTCCGGTAGAAATTCGCGAGAAATTTTCCAATGGGCTGTTTGGAATGGAACCTCTGTGACTGTTCATATTTCTTATGTCACACTTTGGTATTTACAGACTTTCGAACGCATTCAAAAATTTAGTACCATGTACCGATCACATCTATTTCAAACAATTTTCATTTATCCATACCGTTATCTAAGGTATATATATATTGACTGAATGGCAGAATAGGCAGTTTCAGGACATAATTTAAGGAATTTTGTGCAAGGTATCAATTTTCACAGTTCAAACCGTACATTTCGTGGAACGATAACTTATGAAATTCTAATGTTGAATTATTTTCTCAAGGCGCAACGTATTTCATAATGATTTCCAGAACACTCACACCAAAATTGTCGTCATAATCTCATCAAAAAAACTAATACTGAAACTCTATCATCTACGTCAGTCACTACCAACCTGTTGGAGCCTGAACTGATAGGCATTCTCCATATATTTTCTATCTACACAAAATTAGACAAATGATGAGCTGTTATTTCGAAAATTACCGTTATAATAAGCCGATACCACTCATCTATAGTATCTTTCAAGAACCTGATAACCTTTTCGAGCTCAAGAACTTTAGATTGTCTGGCTCTTGTGACAACAAAAATAATTTCGTATGAGCGTCCTACATCTAGAAAAGGCACGGAATTTGGATAAATCCAAATCGTTTATCCAAATCGAGTGCTTTGAAAATAATAAAGTAAAAGTTCCATTCTTCAACTGGTTTTCGATGGAATATATTTTGAAGGACTCATTCATAAGTAGAGGCGATAACATCTCTAAGAGGTCGACATGAGACTCAATTCACGAATATCAAAGGTAAGCATCCTCGTGAGGGAAGATGTCATCATCTCTACTTACTTAAACTTTTTCTCCAAGGACACTTGTGTCTTGCGATGCATTTGTGGTTTAGCCTAGCACCACTGATGAGATCTTGCAGGTTTAAATAGTGCTATCTCATGTTGGATCACGAATGCTCTGTTTTTCAGTCCTGATTCCAAAAATTATTGCGTAAAATCTCAAGTAGAGCTTGTTTAGACTTGGGAGAGGTGTTCAAAGGTAAACCGAAACTTTTGGAGTATAATAAAATCAAAACGAATACTTCTCTCAAACACCAGAAATACAATACTGTTCTGGAAGCTCGTTTCACCAACCAAGTTGGCGTTTTCAGAAGATGAAGTAGACTGTCTACTGTACTGTGGATGATCCAGCAAAGCAGAAGTTATTGGAATAATGGACAGTTGTGTAACGCTATTTTGTTTCTACACAACAATGCCCCTGTACATGAATTGCATATTGGCAAGCAAACAGTTCATGATTCAGAGTTCGAGTTACTCCACCCTCATTCAAAAGATTTGTCTCCGTCCGACTATCATATCTTCTTGTGGACGCCTGGTTTGCAGAGCAAAATAAAAATTAACCGGATATCGTTTATCTTGGGATCAAGCAGAGGGTGGTGCTCATGAAGCAAAATAATAAATAAGAATATGACATTGAAATATCCTCTTTAATTTTTATCATTACAATTTTCATAATTTCGATCATAATAGTTTATAAATATTCACTTGTTTTCGAACTGAGCTGATATATATCTTTCCAAATTTTCATTCTCTCAGCTTCTGGATCAATTAGCATGGTTAAGTCTTTATCAATATCTAAAATATGAAGGGTATGATTTTCTACTGGATTCCATATGATATTTAGATTGTTATCCACTGGAGTGGGATTTCCAAATTTTGCAAAATTTGTCCACAGTGTCACGAATCTTCTCACATAAATTTCTTCCAGTTCCCCCATATGTAAATCCACATCAATTGTATTTTTGAATAAATAACCCAGGTCATCTGCATGACAGGCACCTAAAAAAATTTATATTATTAACATTCTTTCAATTCTAATCGATATAGTCAACAACTCTCATGACAAAACTAGTTTCAGAGAATATCACAATTTCTGAATTCCGGAGAAAATAATCATCTCTTGAACAAAAAAAATTTTATAATTGGAACTTCATAGTGGCTTGAATGGTTTCCATAATATGGTGTGGATATCTCTTGATTGAAGTTCATTCCACGTTTAGTATCAACACTTTGATTTTTCTCTGAATTCACCCAATATCTCTGTTTGAAAATCTGTTCAAAATCTGTTTTTCCGGGAAGAGTTCGAATCCATTAAGCTGATCCTGATTTTTTACCTATTGCTATATTCGAAATCATTTCGATGTAGTTTTCGTTCTTGTAATTCTCATGTACAGGTTTATTATAGGCCAATGTTCGGATTTTCATTCGAACCAACGCAACCTCAGTTATTTTTCAATTCACGTTCATATTTACATTTGTTTTTATCCAAGTTGATTTCTTTATAATTGAAATTCAAGTCCCGATCGTCCTAGACTTCAACCGTAACAATCTTGATAGACTTCACTTCGGATGAGAAAATATTTTAAATTCATCGTTTATGTTGCATCTGAGCAATGTGAGAATTACTTACAGTTCACCTCACAAAAAAATTCCAAAGGCCACATCCCAGTTCAAATGTCAGTTCCAAAATTTATTTCAGGAAAGTACGATGCGAAAAAATATACATAGTCCACGAACTAACCGCTCATGTCAAAGAAAACATGTCAGTCTCTAATTTGATTTTTTTTTATTCATCACGTCATCAAACTGAAACTCAAACCGAAACTAAAAAACCGCCATCCCCATTTCGAATCAACTTTCAAGATCTCATGTAGTTGTTGAGGTCAAGGTCCAAGCCGAACACACACACATGGCCCAAACACATGTTTTGTGATTTCGAAAATAGCCAACAACATACTACACTCGTCGCGTGGTTAAGATTCAGGACGCGGGCAGGAATAATTATTTTGAATTTCTCAACAAAATAGCCACCATTTTGTGTTCTTACTCACTTATGAGTAACTTATCTATTGGCGTGCGCTGACGATGAAGTGGCTGAAAGTTTCGCTATATTAGAAAGTGCTTGAAAAATCCAGACTATTCCAGATAATTCTCTAATATTCTTTGATGATTCGAATATTCCGAAACATTCTGGAATGTGATGGAAATATTCAGTAACAATCAGACACGTTCTAAATTGTTCACATAAACCTTCTTGAAGCAGTCCGCCCATTAAAGACGATAATTCCCGAAAGAGTGGAAGTAACAATTTTTCAAAGACAATGAATGTGGAAATCAAGTTATGAAGCTGTTTGACTAACAACACCTTTCATAACAAAAAGCAGCTTGAGAGACCTGCTTTGATTGAACCTACTTAGATAGCAATGTTGATGCAAGTTTTCATCTATAGTAAGTTGAGTACAAGATATTGACTAGTACAAAGTTCCGTAATGTCCAAGTACAATTGTGGTAAGTCAGGAATAAGTTCTATACTCACAACATTGGTTCAGTGCAAAAACCTAATGAATACGACTTTTACCGTCCCTTGCAATTTTACAAGCCAATAATGGCATTGTTTTATTGAATATGAGTTTTTTAGACGAGTTTACGTTATTTTCGAATGATTTAATGAATAGCCAAAATGGAGAAGTTTTCAGTTTTTTGATAAAGATTCTCATAAAAATTCAGGTGGAATAAAACAATATCACTACAAAAAAAGGGCAATTGAACTTGCGCTTACAAAACCAATTTTGTCCGGCGTGTGATGTCATCTGACCCAGACAATGATGTCATTTCCCTTACTAGTTTTAGTATATACTCTAAATTTTGCACTTACTTGCTCCGATCATGTAGTATTTCATTCGTTCTGATGGCTTTGAAAAGGAAGTATATTTTTGAGAGATATTTTCTTGGAGAAGGAAGGTTTTTGGCTTTCTACTCTTCCATCTTTATACAAAACATGTGGACAATTTTCGAAGGAAAGGAAGAACACAATTGAATTCAAAATAAACTCTATACTTACTGTTCAAATGTATCAGTGTTTTTTTATATGATTTTAATAACAGTTTGCAGTTCAAATCGCAGTCCAGTTTGCAGTCCAAGTAGCAGTCCAGTTTGCAGTCCAAGTCGCAGTCCAGTTTGCAGTCCAAATCGCAGTCCACAAAGCAGTTCAAATCACAGTTCGAATTTCGAATCGCTGCTAGTACAAAGTAAGTTGGTCATTTATCAATCTGAAAGTTAGGCCAATCCCTTGTTTGTCCTCAATACCGTGATAACTGGTCTAATTATTCATCATTTTATCGTATCGTATTTCCAATCCTATTGTTATACCTGAATTAAAATGGCTGAATTCACTAAATTGAAGAGAAAACGCGGTCATATCTAAGCTACTATTACATTTTTGAGAAAGAACCTTGACAAAGCAGAGTCACATAACGCAAATAGATATCTGATTCAAGCGTCATTAGATACCGCAGTTAAGGCATTCAAAAAGTTCGATGGGATTCATGACAGCTTAGAAGATTTAGATGATGAAGAGTACGAGCAACGCAGTATATTCACCGAAAATTTCAATGTAGAAAAGGCCCGTACGCTAAAACTTCTGGAGGAGTTGAATCCACCAACCAATAGCAACGCCAGTATTGTACAACCAGTGACGCCCGTCTAGGCGACCAACCCTATAGCGATGAATGTACCTCCTATCACGCTAAAACCGTTTAATGGAACTCCAGAAAAATGGTACGAGTTTTTAGTCAATTCCAGGCCGTAATTGGGAACGAGCAGATACCTTGTGTGAAGAAATTAAACTATTTGAAGTCATCATTAACCGAAAAGGCAACAAGAGCCATTGATTTATTAGAAATCATTGAAGGCAATTATGACGTCGCAATATTAATACCAAAGGAAAAATTTGAGAACAAGCGTCTTATGGCACGTCGTCACATGTCTTTTTTGAAAGAGTTTCCGCGACTACAAAAGGATACACCGATTGCTATCAATGAACTTGTAGACCTTTCACCAGCACACCAGAGCTTTAGAGAGTTTGAAGGCCCCCGTGGAGTTTTGGGACATACCATTAGTTGAACTAATTCTATCAGAAGTGAGTCAAAATACCGCATGGCAGTGGGAATTAACACTACAGGATGACAAATTTCCGTCATTTAAATCATTGTTGAGTTTTTTGGGGAAGAGAGCCAATTGTGCAGAGCCCTCGCTTCATGACTTTCGGACAATAAACCAATGAAAATAGAAGGTAGGAACGTGAGAACACATGCATTATTTACCCAAGGTCAAGCGAGACACCAGGACAGTGCTACTAGATATTCAGCTTGCAATATGTCTCATCTATTATATACTTGTAACAAATTTTGTGAATTGTCACCGGATAATCGTCATAAGATTGTATCCGAAGAACGCTTATGTTTCAATTGTTTTGGTAAAAATCACGGAGTTAGGACATGTAAGTTACAAACATCATGTGAAAAATGTAATGAACGCCACTACACTTTATTACATCAACACACAGAATAAAACCCCGGCCAACATCAATCTTAAGAAAGTACCTTTGAACAGAGCAATCGGACCCAACCAAATTCATTGACGGAACAAAGACAAGTAGCTCTAGTAGTTAATGCTAATGGTTACCGCAGTACTTGACATTTTGGACAAACATGAGGGACCTTTACAATGCAGAGGGTTGCTCAATACATGCTCTACTACGAATTTTATTACTCAACGTATTGCTGACATTTTGAGATTGAAAAAGACAAAATGTCATATACCTGTGGGTGCATTAAACTCCATGACAACCTACTGTACCGAATTGGTTACGACTACCATTAAATCATGCATCAATGCATATAAGAAGACTTTAACGTTTTTGATTGTACCTGCCATTTCACATATCATACCAGATCAACCGATTCAACGTAAACTCATCAAGCTACCTACTAACGTCAAACTAGCAGATACAGATTTCCATCGACCGGCACCAGTGGACATATTATTAGGAGCGGGCACGACACTTTCTCTATTATGCGTAGGACAAATTGAATCAGCAACCTCTGGTCAACAGGAGCTGTATTTACAAAAGACAATACTCGGGTGGATAATAGGAGGAGCTGCTCCGTCCAGTATACCTGCAACCTCAAAATGCCATATTACCACTACAGCCGCACAATTTCAGCTTCAACAATTCTGGAAAATAGAAGAATGCCCGCAAATAAAAAGATTCACCCAAGAAGAAGAAAGATGCAAACAGCATTTCCGTAACCACATAAGTCGAGACGTAAATGGTATGTTGTTGCTCTACCTTTCAATCCGCATGCACCCAAGTTAGGAAAATCTTACCATACAACGCTCAAGAGATTTGGAAATACGGAACGTAAGTTGAGACAAAATCCATAATTCAAAAAATTGTTTGATGAAGTACTAGAAGATTATTTGAAACAGGAACACATGTCTTTAGTGACAAACTGTCAACACCTGTCGGATGGTTATCATTTGCCTCACCATGCAGTTGTAAAAGAAAGCAGTATTACACGAAGGTGCGTGTAGTATTTGATGCTTCATCTAAAACCACCACAGGTGTATCGCTTAATGATGTTTTATATACTGGACCTATTAATCAGCCTCCGTTATTTGTCACCTTAATACGTTTCCGTAAGCACACTCAAAACAGATGTTTCGACAATTCTCGATGAGAAAACAAGATCGTCAATTCCAACGCATATTGTGGAGATGCAAGGAATCTGAGATGTATATATATGAGCTAAACACCGTCTCATTTGGCATAACTTGCGCTGGATTTTTAGCGATACGCTGTTCGCATCAGCTATGTGATGATGAAGGAGAAGCCTTTAGCCGCACCATTATTATTGACTGACTTTTATGTTGATGATTTTCTCAGTGGAGCAAAGGAAAAATCTACAGCCAAGGAAATAATTGAATAGATGATAGGG